TGCATCGGAAATCTCGCAAGACAGCGGTGCCCTCAACATCATGTCTGGACATGGAAAAGGTCTCGCTTCCACAGAAATTCCCGTCTGTTTCAAAGCCATCTTGACCATCTCACGTGCTCCTTATTTCGATCTCTCCTCCAGCTTTTCTGATGGCTTTTGCCCTGTGGCACATGCTGGGAGATCCCACCTTGTCGTTTCTGTCTCGGTTCATTCGCGACGGCATCCGGCGTTTCTCATCATCTTGAAAGGGGCGCATGTCCGAAAGCGAAGCGCCCCTAGATCAGATGAAAAAGTCTACGAAGCAGCCAAGCGCAGTGATCCGAATGGGTCTGCATCGGCCAGTTTGGTTGGTTATCGCTTTTTGGTTCGACAAGTTACCAATCGCGACGGACCAAAACTTGGAGACGGTGAATCGTTCCTCTGCTCTGGCACCGATGGGCACAAAAGTCCAGGTATCAGAAGTCGCTGCAAGCCATCAGGGGAAAGAACCGATGTACGACTTACTTGTAGCCAGTCAAGACTGAGTCTAGGACATATTATTACACAGGTAGAAACAAGCCCTCTCCTCCCTGCCACGTCTTCATGCCACGTGGTACAAGATTGATGAGCCCGAACTCGTTCATGAGGTCCATAACCGGGTCTGCCTTACGGTCGCATCTCGGATTGCTTCGTCATTCATCAAAGCTCTCATGTATCTCACCCCGTTTCATCATCACCTTGACTTGTGTTATTTGAACTAAGCTTGTACTCGTACAATGCAGCTGGTTTCTACAGCAAGGTTCTTACGGATATACAGGGAGTCCGGGGGTGTGAGAATGCATCTGTGCTCGAATATCGAGTCGTGAAATTCTATGTCTGTAGCCTCAACTGGTTGATAGTGTACATCCTTCTGCGTCTTGTTTATGATATTAGATAAGACATCCTGTTTCTAGTGTCTGCAAGCCAGCGACAGATTTCACCCCAATGTTTGATACCGCTACAGAACAGTCTCAATCAAAACCTTACCGAACTTGTCCTAGGTTTCTTGGGAAGTCAAATCTAATCCTATCCTGTCGTGTCGACTGTCCTATTCAGGCTGAGCCGCCTTGCGTTTTGAACAAGCTTCCCCTCTCTTGACTTCAGTCATGCCACAGCCAAGTGCTGAACATGTCACATAGGTGCTCAACGCCATCTTGGCAGATTTAGTATAAGTATAAGTAATATATAAATTATAAAGGTAGACTAATAGAATACATCGATGATGTCTTTTGTTTTACCACTAAGAAGTCAGTAAACATTACTAACACCGTGGTTCAGTCAGTGCCTGACCCCGTCAATGTTCAAGAAAGTGGACATTTTGTCACCGTCGGAGGACTCATATATGCGGTCCCCGCCCTTGAACTCCTCTTCTATGCAAACTGCACTGCCGTTCTCGCTCCCACCGACACCCAGGCTCCCCTTCACCTCAGGAGATGCTTGCCAGAGGTGGATGCCAGACACATCAAGGCCTCGCGTGGTAAAGGGAGGATGGGAATTTGCCGCCTCTGCCTTAGCTTGCTCTCCCCTCCTTCCTTCCATCTGCTTCCTCTTTCTTCTATACGTTTCCTCTTTGCTCTTTTGCCCTCTTTTTTCTTCTTCCTTCCCACAAATTTCGATCTTCTCTCTTCTCCTGCCTATCCCTACTTTTCACCCTCACCCGCACTCACTCTCACTCACCTAAGCTGTGCCTCCGATTGGCTCAAGACCCGTGGAGCAAGTTTGCTTAACCATTCCCATGTATACCTGTAAAATCTAGCCAGCTCTCGGCTGCACTAAAAACCCAAACCCCCAACAAACTACAGCGACTATCAAAAGGTCAAGAAGGCGGTAGCAGCCAAACACAAGATTGAATACGCAGACGCATGGTCGGTGGTGTTCCAAATCTGCCGCGACGATCGTACTCTCTTTAAGGAGAAAGCCAACAGCAAGGTTCTACATGCAATGGCGGCAGTAGCCCAAAACATAAATAGCCTGCGGAGGGACATATGTCCAAAATCCGCACAACGCAGATCTGCCCATGCGCCTCTTGGACCGCCCCCAGGCTTAATCTCACCGCCGTATCCCAGATCACCACCGGAGACAGATGCAGGCGTGTCAGTGTTAGCACCCGTGTTGCCGCAAGCACCTCAACCAATAACCTCGTTGCTGGACCAGCAACCAACCTCATCGACAACTCAGCAGCTGCCTCAGCCGTCACAGCAACCCCTTGCCTAATCTCACCAGATCTCCCCCGAGATACGCCAAGCAGCGAGGAGATGAGCTACACTATACTATAGGCTTAACCATCATCTTTGAAGTCTGCACCCTGCAATGTTTGAGAGCTCTTCAAGAACGGACTCGGCCTTCCCCAAAAATCATGGCCACGACGATGCAGTCCCGTCTTTGCTCCAGAACGGCGATTTTGTCGCGATCGGTTCAACATTGTATGTCGAGCGCACCGTCATCATTGGCGAGGCCGTCTTTGTCGTTGCTTTCGTCCATCTTGACATGGTCCCTGTCACTCAGGCCAGGGGGCATAGAGCTCTCCTCTATTTCTTGCAGCACGTGTCGCTTCTTCATGAGAAACCCTTGAACTGGCCCGTGATAAAGTCGACACACGGTCTGAGGCTCTCCGTCCTTGGCTGTCACACGGTCGACGCGAATGGTGCGCATGTTTCCTTTACCATAACAGGGTTGTACTGCTCCATGGGGAGGATAATATCATCCCCCGGCTCGTCCAAACGTGACGCTTCAACAGCATCATAGAGCTTTTCCACGCGGAGGGGACGCCTGGCGTAGACCAGACAACTGAGAGTACGGGCTGCTCTGACGCGTGACCCGGGGTTGTTCTGGATTTGTTGTCTAATGCGGCGTCGGAGGGACTCGGCGAAGCTTTGGGGCACGCGCGTGGGATCAGTCAGGCTCTCTTTCTCGAGACTAGACCAGGAAAGATCCTCCAGCGTCCAACTCGCCTGTCTTTCTTTAGGCCGCCATTCTTTTGACATAGACATTACTATCCATCCCTGTCGCAAAGCTAGGATAAGCCCTTATCATGATGGCTTGCATCATATTTCAGCATGGCAAGATGCCCAATTTGCCGAATATCGACAAAACGGAGTGCTTTCACAGATACGATGCAAAGGCTGACTATGGGCTTCTCTTATGACAAACCCCTAAGCAGTCTCGTCCAGGAATTTTCAACAGCAGAGGCCGAAGAGTACAAAATTTTGTCAGATAACCAGGAGTTTAAGGAGAGGCGTTTCCAAGAGCAAGTCGATACCTTCATGCAATACCAGCTTCCCGACCTTCAAGAACAAGCTAAGAAAAGCAAGGACGCACAGAGATCTGTTTAGGAAGCATAGAAAGGGCGAGTTAGGTACATCGTTTTACTTCTATGCGTTGACTAACAGTGGCTCTCGTCTCGCAGTTACGTATCGCGGAACGCACACAAAGACCCAAACAGGTCATAATCGACATCTGCCGTCAGTCGAGGGAGGCAGAGAGCATATGACAGGCTTTTGTTGAGAACTACTTCACGCGTTCTATCAAGCCTCGGCTTAGCCTGGGACCAAAAAAGATCGAACATGTACGGACTGTGACGTCTGCTAACAGCGTCTTGCCATGTTGGGAACTTCTGGTGGGCGCTACCGAAAGGGAATTGTTCTTGGGGATAAGACCTATCCAGGGTCTGCTTGCCGCGGAAATCAGTCATGACAGTCACTAGCCAGAGCAACACGTTTAGGAAGTTGTAGCATACAGGTGCACCTTACCTATACATACGAGCATGGTAGGTGCGCGGAAAGGGTGGAGGACTTACCAGAAGGCATCATACATGCTCATGTGTGCAGCCCTTTCCCGAGTAAGCAAATGTACCTTCTAGCAACTTTCAATTTCTGGATCATGAAGGAGTTCTCTTTCTGTTTCTTGGAGTTCCAACGGAAGAGAAGGGACGCCCATTTTGTGAACAGGTAGGTACTGGAGGACACCCCATCACTCTCTGCTCCTTGACTCCTCTTCTGTCTCTTCTGGAGGACAACAAAACACCAGCAACACCAACAACAACACCAACACCAGCAGCAACAGCAACAACAGCAACAACAGCAACAACAGCAACAACAGCAACAACAGCAACAACAGCAACAACAGCAACAACAGCAACAACAGCAACAACAGCAACAACAGCAACAACAGCAACAACAGCAACAACAGCAACAACAGCAACAACAGCAACAACAGCAACAACAGCAACAAAAGCAACATCAATGTGAGTCTTCTGCTTCTCCTACATCTTTGTCTGCCATTACAGATTCTTCCCATTCGTCATTCGTGTTTCCAATTCACCTGGCTCGGAGAGAACTGGGCCGAATTCATCAAACTAATGCCAAAAGGGCAACATGTAGCTCAGCCAAACGCCGATCCAGTCAGAGGCCCCCTTCCTTGATCTAGCACCTTCGCGAGTTACCTCTAACCGTCGGCCGGCCAGGTGCATCTCACCTAACACACCACACCTCCCCCTTTACCCCTTAGCGAGGAGCGCCCTCGCCCTCAGCCACGCACTCACCCCCTTCACTAGAATCCCTGCCTCTTCCCTCGCTACGACTAACACCCCAACCCCCCACACAGTAATCACCCAGTCTAAGCAACTTCTAATATATCCAAGGGAGGGAAACACTGATTTTTTCACTCGAGATAAGGGATTCGCATTGTTACAGGGGTACGTTGTTTTGCCCAGGACCCCTTGGCAGAGGGATCCTGGGCTGGTATTAGAAGATAGGCTGAGCAGGCGCCCTGTGCCACCTAGATGGACTTAACAGGCGTTAAATATCATCATCATCATTCGTGTTTCCAATTTACATGCTGTTGTGGAAAGCGCCCCAGACGGCTGCTGTGAGATGGATGTTTTTTTGCAATCGACTAATCAGATGATTAATTTCCACTTGTACTCGTGACGGGGAGGCCATCTCTGACCTGGCTATTTCCCTAGGCTGCCAATAGATATTGAGCTACCAGTCATGCGCCCCCTCAACAATCCTGTTCTCCATCCGAATTTGCTGTAATGAGAGGGGGCGAATTACTGTGTTTGAGAGATTCAAATAATAAACGGCATCTCCATGAGATTTAACAACACCAACATCCAGGAACTCCTTGGTAGTAACACATCCATTACCACGATGCTTTAGTGAGACTGCTTCCCAAGCCCGGATCACAGAAGGGTTCAAGGCACAACCCCACGTTCCTCTCCAGGTTATCTCGGCACGCTGCCCATAACCACCATAACTGATTGACTGGTATTTGAAGAGTGCTGCCAATCCCTTTCGTCCGTTCCATATCTCCATTGTTTGAAGATTTGGCATTCTCATAGCCACTATTGCCGCTCCTTGAAGCATGTCATTGATCTCGATAGTGCTCTCATCAGGCGTAAGCAGCTGTGAGGTTAGAGTAAGCGAAATCAGATTAGGCCACCCCCAAGAAGGTTTGCAAGTAGAGAAGAAATGGCCAGCGTCTACTATGAACGATGCTGAGAGGTGCTCAATCTCAAGAGTAGCACTAGCAAGCGTCTGACTGACATCCAAGGTCGGGATTCGAATAGGCGCGCAATAAAGACGATTTTGTCGGTACCGTTGATTGAAATTCTCGAACACGACAAGTCTGCGTAACTTGTAAGAAGAGAACTGTTTAAAAAGCGATCGGTAAGCTGTATAAGAAAAGTTAGGATTAGTAGGATGCTACTAGATTCTAGCATAGCAATAAAAACAGGGTAGAGCAGGACAAATTAATGTAGCTGTGGTACTGTACTTACATTCGTCCGTCCACATCTGTTGAGCATCATCCCATTCCATCCAAGGCTCGTAGTGGATCTCCTGGAGTCTAGAAAAACGGGAAAACATGTGTGATAGTGCTTTTGGCTTCCATCGCCGGCGGCTCTGTTGTCGTAGAAGCACACCAGTTACTACAGGAACCAAAGGTAGTTGTAGCCACCATTGGTTTTCCTGTTCGTCATCATCAAACGGCCCCTCGCCCATAATTTCATCGAAAACCCTTTCCATAGCCATGGCAGACGGGTGTGATTCTTGACTGCCAGCAATCCAACCGTGCTTGGTATCGTCAAATTCGGACAGAATAGGCTTCTGTATGTGTCGGTCCTGTTTGAGCTCGCCAGAAGAAATATCCGGCCCAAAGGTCAGATATTTAAACCAATGTTTCGAGTCACTAGGTGAATAAACGCTGATATCAAGCACAAGGCTGCCATATGGCTTCCATGAGCTCAGACTTGAAAATAGATCCTGGATTGCTGTGACAATCAGGATATTGTCTGTGTTGCTATCGCCCCATTCTTCCAGATCGTTAGGCGCACACCGAGTGCAGTCATATTCTTGAAGCTCCAAACTAAGCCATATATAGCTTACAAGAGCTTGGTTCCGATGAATCATGGAGTTAAAATTAGCAAGGCGTGACGGCGTTAGCTTGATTCGGGCGAAGTTGTGCCGCTCGATAATCGCCTGCCACTCTCGTGATACTGTAGCGAGCCTGGCCAAGCTACAACCGTCTTGTAGTAAGACTTCAAGGATGATAAGCCTGATCTCTGAGGGCAAGCAGCCCCAAGATGTCTTGGTTGACAGTGGCATTGGTGCCGTAAAAAGGATGAAAGGAAGGAGTGTCGATACGTTTGCTGCTTAATATGACGTTGTAAGGCGAGATGTAACTGTTGTTCCTGTTTGGTCGTAAAGGTTCACGCGTGCTGTGAAGGAATCTTGATGGGATGACTTGGTCTCGAAGCAGTAGAATAGATATAACCTATTTATACTCTTAAACTCTTTTCCTTGTCGGTTACCTTGGAAGATATTAGGCCACGTTCAGTTTGGGATTTTGAAGGTACCAACATAGAAAAAACAAACTTTGTTAGCTTCTGATGTGACGCATGACCCATACAGGCCCCTAACCAACCGCGGTACCTCAAACCCTAAACCCCAAAAGCGAAGCCTTGACGATCAATCCTTCACAGGAGCCGGCATGAAAAGGCAACAACATGGGAAACATCTATTTACTATGCAGTACTGCAAGGGAACACCCCAATTTGTCGAAATGGCAGAATATATACCCATAATAATTCTCTAAGTCTTTTTGTATACTTGTTTATCTTGCTTCAGGCATCGCGTTGCAAATTGTTCAAGCCCCATATAAAAGACAGCAGGCTGCCTACAACGTACTTACCATCTAACCACACTAGCCTCCCCTAGGACGTAGCATCTGCGCTAGGTAGAGAGCTCATTTTTATAGTAATCTTGTAGCTCTTCTTCTTACCTACTGCGCTGAATTTAAGTATCTTAGGTTTAACAGAGACCTTAACTAGGCTTAGGTTATTTAGTAAGACAGTAGCTATTGGAACGGGGCAGGATTTCGGGTTTTTCTTTGAGCAGTTTTTGCGAGTGTTTTTCCGGCCAGCAGAGCCTTAATCGTCCCGATCAGGACGTTAAATACCGATCAAGACCAACAAGATAGACAGGACATGGAATTTGACACCTACAAGTTGACCCCTACCTTTGACTACGACTTTATTATTAGAGTGACATAACTGATTCTGGATATTCTTTTGATCTCATACGCCTAATCAGGCCTTTCTGGCCTGATTAAGCACTCTGCCTACCTTATAACTACGTAACTGAACGACAAGACCTTTCGCACACAGTTCTATACCACTTAGCAACAACGGCATTACCGACCAAGTTTAACCGCCAACTAGAGACAGACGTTCAATTAACAAACCGTGGCCCTGATCAGACCAAGGTCCATCAATTAACGTTATTATCTTCTTAGATAGGGGTCAGTGAGTCACCTTTGTGTTCGTGGGCGCTCAGGGTGCACTGGCGACGAGACCTTTGGGCAGGGTTGTTTGGATTGGTTGCGTGTGTGCCAGCTATCCTACTGCCTTGCGCATCGATATCCCGCTCAGTTTCACTATATAGGTGCTAGCGCTGCTAATATTAATAATAGTACACTTAATCTTAACTGTATAGGCGCTATTACTAGGGCCTAGATTACTATATAAGACAAAGATAAAAGAGTAGTTAAGGTTATATATACTATATATCTTTTACTCTTTATATATAGTATTACTCTTTATTATACTAGTAATAAATACTAAGGTACTATTAATAGTATAAAAGAAGCTAATATAGTTATTAGGTATAATATTATAGACAAGGCCTAGGTTTAGGGCAGTAACTAGGTCTATATAGCTACTACTATAGTAGAATAATAAGGTAGGCTAAGAGTTAGTATAGTCTAGTAGTAGTAACTAGGTGCCTTTAGTTATAATATAAGTAGTTATTATAATAGCTAAGTAAATAGTAGTATAGCTCTAGTCTAGATAGTAGGCCTTAAGGAATAAGGTAATATTAGCTAAGTGTAAAGTAGATATAGATATACTAGAGATAATATTAAAGTCTACCTTATAATTATCCTAGGTAAGGCTACTAAGGCCCTAGTTACTAACCTATATAGCTAAGATAAAGATATTAAGGCTAGTAATTATAAGGATATTACTAATAGGTTAGTAATTAGGTGCCTTATAAGGTTATATATAGTATAGTTCTAATATATAGTACTAGAACTAGTAGATCTTTTAGTAGTTACTAGAATAGTCTATTATTAGGCGTTAGTACACTACCTAATCCTATTATAATTATTCTAGCACTACATAGGTCTTCTAGCTATAGGCAGAGGCTAGGTTTAACTCCTGCCTACTAAGGACTTCTTAGTGTATAGGCCTACCTTAGAGAGGCAAAGGCTAGCGGTTAGTTAGTAACTAGTCAGGTTATAGGCCTATAGCGTTTAATTTAGCTTAGTACACAAGAAGTAGCCTACGTTAGGCTTAGAGAGACTAGGTGTAGGGAGGTAATATCTAGTAGCTATTACTAGACACTAGGCTACCTAGGGCCTTTAGGGTTTATATAACCTTATACTTTAGTGCATAAATACTAGTACTAGTATAAGTACTCCTTAGGATATATTATATTAAAAGGGAGGTAATTATAAAAATATTACTAATAAGTTAGTAATTAGGTGCCTTATAAAGTTATATATAGTATAGTTTTAATATATAGTACTAGAACTAGTAAATCTTTTAGTAGTTACTAGAATAGTCTATTATTAAGTATTAGTATACTACCTAATCTTATTATAATTATTTTAGTACTATATAGGTCTTTTAGCTATAGGCAAAGGCTAGGTTTAACTTCTGTTTACTAAGGACTTCTTAGTGTATAGGCCTACCTTAGAGAGGCAGAGGCTAGTAGTTAGTTAGTAACTAGTTAGGTTATAGGCCTATAGTGTTTAATTTAGCTTAGTATATAAGAAGTAGCCTATGTTAGGCTTAGAGGGACTAGGTGTAGAGAGGTAATATCTAGTAGCTGTTACTAGACACTAGGCTACCTAGGGCCTTTAGGGTTTATATAACCTTATGCTCTAGTATATAGATACTAGCGCTAGTGTAGGCGCTCCTTAGGATATATTATATTAGAAGAGGGGTAATTATAAAGATATTACTAATAGGTTTATAATTAGGTGCCTTATAAGGTTATATATAGTATAGTTCTAATACTAGTAGATCTTTTAGTAGTTACTAGAATAGTCTATTATTAGGCGTTAGTATACTACCTAATCCTATTATAGTAATATTTAGCTTAAAAAGCTAGGGGAACTTAATATTTAGGCCCTAGGAGCTAAAGGTAGCTATAACTAGGGCTAGGACTTTAATATAGGTGCTAAGGAATTCTAAAATAGCTATTCTACTGTTAGCCTTAGTGTAGGCCTTAACTTTAGGTCTATCTTTTTTATTAAAGTGTATAGTAGAAAGTAAGTAAACGTCTAGGACTAAGTTATTACTGTTTAAAGGTAAGTTAATAAGAATTATACTATATCTACTAGTAGCCTTAATAACTACTTCCTTCTTAACCTTATAGTTTTAACTTTATATATAGAGAATAACCTTTTTAGTAACCTTAGCTAGATTAAGGCTACTACTTAAATATTATAGTTAGTAATCTAATAGTAGAGTTTCTACTAGGAATAAGCTAGGGTTAATACTTAGTTAATAGTAGGGTTAGCTTACTAGTCTATTAATTACTTACTAATTAGTTAAGTAGTTAATAGTTATAAAGGTAGCTTATATAGCTTTTATTAATTAATTTATTAAGGTTAAATACTAAAAGTTATTTAAATAAATTATATTATAAAAAGAAATTAATTACTAAAGAGCTATAAAAGTTTATTCTTAAGTATATTTAAGTTTATTTTATATATAAGTCTTAATTTCTCTAGATAACTAATAATTATAAGTAATTATTATCTTTATATAAGGTAAGCACTTAGTAAATACTAGTAAGTACTTACTTTAGTAATTACTAGTAATTATCTTATTTTTATAATTACTTTCTTATCTTTATATAACTTATACTATAGTTCTTTTAGATCTAAGGAGTTATTTTAATTTAACTTATTATTAGTTTTATATAAATACTATACTACTTACTAGTTATCTTGTCTAGTAAAGTAATATTACTTATAACTTATTAAGTTATAATATTAAGTTTTTTCTTTAAAGGTTTTACCTTTAAGACCTATAAAAGTAAGTTACTACTCCTAGGTTAAGAAGTCTTTAAGTTCTTTATTCTTTATTTCTTTAGCTAATATAGTATCTAGTAAAAAGGATTATTAAGAAGCTTCTTTAATATAGTACTATTTAAAGTTAGCCTTAGAAATTAAAGAGTTTAGTTTTAATATTATACTTTATTTTTTTATTAGTTAATAGGTTATTATTATAAGATACTTACTAAAAAGTTAAAGTGCTATAAGTATACTTATTATAGTTATTCTTAAAATATAACTATAAATACTATTTTATAAATATAAGTATTTTTTTATATTTTATGTTTATTTTAGTTAACTTATTAGTAGTAGATTATTTTTTAACTAAGTCTAATTAGTTAGATTATAAAAAAAAAGAAGTAAAATAGCTTTTTTAAAAATATACTAAAGTACTAAGAAAGGCTTAGGCTAAAATAAATAAATCTTTAGTAAAGTTAGATTACTTTTATTAAGTAAAGTAAATAGTATTTAAGAAAAGGTAAAGTATCCTAGATGCTATCCCTAAGGAGTCTATAGAAGTACTATTAAAATCTAATATAGTTTATAAAGTCTAGGCTAATAGTAGTTTTAAAGTTATTAACTAAAGTAAGATATTTAGTAGTTTAAAGCTATTTAAGTTTAATTTTAGTATACCTTTAGTATTATCTAAGTATACTAGAAGGTTTTAAGTAGCTTTTATAAGTTATTTTTATGTTTATAGTCTTTTTATTTTACTAGATATTATTCTTTATTATTCTTATAGTGTTTATTAATAATATATTTAACTTTATATTCTAGTTTATTTAGTTCTATAATAATATAGTTATTAGTATTTAATCTCTATAGTACTAGTGTTAGTAACACTAAGGGATAGGTTAATATAGTTAACTATATATATTAGTAGTAATTAACAAATAATAGAGGTAACTATAGTTCTCTATTATACGTAAAGAAAAGAAGGATAATTATTATAGGTTAGTTAGTTAAATAACTAACTTAT